GGTTTTCAGTCTTTTCAATGTGTAGAAGAAGAGTGACATGCGTCTGTTACTCATTTTGGCTATGGGGCTCAGCACTGCCCCCTATCAGTGCGGCAAGGTACTTTCTACCGCATTAAAAGAAATGTTGTCTTGTTAGCTTAGTGCTGCTACTAGTGGTTAGCTTGTTGCTAAACACAGCAACTGGCCTACTTCCCCTGTATTGACTTAAACCTTAAACATAGCTATGTTGTTGGGTTTGATCTTGTAATTCTCAGATCCATGTTTTGGCTTCAAAGCTAAATAATTAGTAGGACTTCTGTTAAAATTTGTAGTGCTCAAAATGCTCCCCACTCCAGTCATTTCCTTTTTAAGTGGTTTTTATCCAAGGCAGATACACGCTTCGTTTGCAAGTAAAGCTAATCCCCTTGACTGTGGCCCCCTAAACCTCTTGTGAATACAACTGTTTGAAAAACTCAATCTTAAATATTTTAATATTGCTTAGTGACAGACTCGTCTAAATACAGCTCATCTTTGAAGAGTTTTCTTTTTGAGAAAAAGAGAGAGACTAAATATTCATCATTTCAGAAAATGTTGGGGAAGCTCAAATCTGCTCCAGTGCTTTCAGCTTTTGTATGTGGTCCTTGAAATACTTCAACAAACAACGCAATTAATCAACATAATTAAGAAAGTACAAACCTGCTCTGTATATAATGACTGGTCTTGATTTGAAAGATTGCCTGCAGCTTTTAAAGATAGGACTGTGCAACACAAAACTACAGGAATAAATGGATGAATAAAGGCACCAAAACAGTGTTTCAAGGACTACTGTTATACTTGAACAGGCTGCCTGCCTTTGCCTGCCCAGCCAAGTAGAGTGACCAGTGGTTCTAATGGTGACTTGAGTCTGACTTGAGTCTGCCTTCATGAAGCAGGCAGACTCTTACAGAAGATCAACCATATGCACAGCATCACAGCGGATGGATTTTCTTTTTTTTTTTTTTTTTTTTTTTTTTTTTTTTTTTTTCAAAATGACCAGAGAGAGGTCAATAGTCCTTCAGAGACAAATGGCAGCCAGATGGAAATTTGTCTCTTTTACTTTGAAAGGGAAAATCTTTATCTCTGGTGGGAAACCCCCCCCAAAAAAAACATACAGAACTGTGCGGCAATAATTTCAAACAGAGCCGCTGGGAAATCATCCACTCATTCATCCCCTAGCTACACTTTCCTAATTGTTGCAATTAATACAATTAATTATTTTTTTAAAGAAACAAATTATTATAGCTTTCTGCTCTAGGACTTTATAGCCACCTAAGTTAAATGTATACTATTTGAAGAGTCATGCACTGTAAGTAAGACAATTCTGTCAGGATGCTTGTAGCAAGCCTAATGAAGAATCTTATAATAATAATAATAATAATAATAATAATGCACTTTTTCCAAAACAGAAAATGTTCTATTATAAAAAGAGAACAAATAATTTAACCACTTTGAAAATACATAAATGTGACTAAAGAGAAAATGTTATTTCTGTTCCTATGTAATCACATCTATTTTCTGAATTTTCATTATAATTAAGTCATTTGTTTACTAGAACTGCCTTGTACATCTTCTTATAAGCAGAACATTACACTTCTATCAAACTGTGAATGTGTGTTTTGTACTTCGTGAGTGCAAGTATGTCACAATTAAAGGTGAAGATGGAGATGGATTACCGAACGCCGGAGGCCAGGACCCGATGCAGAATAAAAGAACTTTATTACAAGCTAGAACCGGAGACGAGATAAACATAGGCTTGGCAAAGCTAGCTAACGTCAGAGGAGGGAGGGGAAGCGATTTGCCTCGGAACAAAGAAGACAAAGAGACATGAATACCGATGGAAGTTAAAAAAAAAAAAAAAACTGTGAAAACTGATTCCGCAAAACAAAACAAAACATAAAGCTGTCAGTACAACATGAACCAAAACAAGCTGATAACAGAAATTTGAAAAAATTAAGTCTGAAATCAAGACATCAGAGCTCTCGGTGGTGTTGAATGGCTCTTAATACCTGTGTTCTTTGTTGTCTTTATCTAGTAAAAACATATCAAATTGTTTACACTGTCGGCGTGTTTTCATGGAAGAATGTATTTATATTCATATTAGATATTTATTTAGCAATATGTTGTGATGGCTTATTGATGCTGTGCAGCTTGGGAGGAGTTTGTCTCAACAAAATATTACTTTTACAACTGGAAGTAGCCAATTAGCATCTCAAAAGCTTAAATAATACCTATAATAAAGACTGGCAAAAGCAAATTGGGTGGATAAGCAGTGCTTGTCAACAGCTGATTGCTTCATCCAAACATATTATAGTGAAACAACGCTGTAGTGTTGTTCATGAATGATCCATTCAAATGAACGGTGTGCTGCGAATCAGCGGCTAGCATTGTACCTACAGAATCAATACATTCAAAGTGAATCGATTCAATTGAATCAATTGAATTGAATCAATTGTCCTTCTAGACTACAGGAGCTGCTAGTCATAACACTCAAAAAGCTCTCACACAGCAACTGTCTTCAGTCAGAGGTCTCTTCAGATTTGCTGCAAGACTGACTGCTACTGGAGAGCCTTTCCGTCTACAGCATCACCATCATCGGCTGTTTGAAGATGCTTACAACAAAGTTTTTTTTTTTCCCTTTGAGAGAAGTAAAGTATTTTTGAATTGAATGATCTGCACAGAGCAAGAATCTTCCTCCTGCATAGCCAGCTGTTTGGATTTGTCAGTTGACTTGCTACAGTAAAAAAAGAAAAAATAAATAAATTAGTTGTTGCTTAGCAACATTCATATCATTGTTTTCCACAGTGAGACACTTAAACGCTTTTTAATTTACAGAGCCTTTAACATAAATACGGGACAATGTGAAGTCCATTAGAGATGCAAGGGGATATTGCTAGTATTATTACTGTGTTTCAGTATCTAACGTGTGTCCTGTCATATGTACTGATTATTTACAAGTCAAAACTCTGGCAAGTAGAACAACAATTGAATTTGTCACATTGCAGCGCAAGCTGTAAGTCAAACATATAACAAGAGGCTATTTTGCACAAACATTTCCAATGTCTTTCTTTTGTTCATAGTCTGACAGTTAGCTCAATAGCCTTCAGCCCATGAGAAATACTTAATGCACAGCCTATGGGTCTCTTTTGGGTTATTATCTAGTTAACCTCGCCTGACAGCAGAACCCCAAGCTCCAAGTGGGGGAAATGAACAAATGAGGTTTCCATCAATCCTGCAATAAGCAGGGTTAAAGTGGAATGATTTGCATAAAAAACAGACCTACGTTCAAATATACATCTCTGAAACGTAAGTTAATAAAATACTGTATGTAATTAACAGACGGTTTGTGTCGAGAAGCATAACTTCTTTCAAGGATTGTCACATTTCTCATGACAGCAGCAGCTCCTCATGAGCTATTTACAGTTACTAATGAAAAGACACATTTGTTTTTTGTTTGTTTGTTTTTTTATGGTTAAATGTGCCATCTTGGAAAGAGTTTTGAATTACCTTTTTGTCACAACAAAACTAAAACTGCTCAGCTGTGTGTGTAGTGAGTGCATGAGGTGCTTGACTGAAGCATCTTAATTTCACTGTAGTGTTTTTCTCCAGCATTTCAATAAGAATCGTTAATTTGTGCCCCACAACAATCTGACTGCTGTAATTACTTTAGAAATCCACCTAAAAAACAAAAAACAAAAACAACCTTTAATAAGCAAACCTACCCAATGGCAAGAATGAGCTTAACCTCTTCTAACTAGCATTAAAACGCCATTTAAATGCTAATGCCTCTTCAGACACGAATAGCCTAAACTAGTTGGTGAGTCTACAGTATACAAAATATAAAGAATTTCATTAAGAAACATAATGATGAAATAAAACGTTTCTGGAATTGTTAATATGGCTTTCTGCTCAGGATGGCATGACGTAGTGGATGCCACAAAGAAAAAAAAAAGTTACCTGTCAGTTGTACAATGTGTCCCTTGTGACTGGGCTGTGGTTTGATGAGGGTTAAGTTTTAATAGCTGAATAAAATCTGAATGGTATCGGTAAAAAAAAAAAAAAACAATCTGATTGGTGAGTTAATTTTAATTCTGTTTCTAACAAGTAAGTTTTGTAAGTTAAGTTTTGTTTGGAGGTGGTAGAAACTGGGTACCATTTATGTAGGGATTGCCAAAGACAAGAATTTATTTTGAGATGTAATCTCAGCAGCATAGGAACATTGTGTCACTGTTTATGGTCCCTGGCTGGTTTTACAAATGTACCAATATACACAAAAGATACAGCATAAAGAGTCATATTTCAATACTTATCAATAATGTATGTTGCCTGAGCTGCGGTCACATTTTCATTTTCATTATAAGGCACTAATAGTTTTTTTTTTTTTTTTCTTGGATTTCTTGTAAATAAAACATTAATCTTTGTCCTTCGTCCCCCAACTCTCAGTAATTGTCATGGACTTAGCCGGAAGCAACCCCTTTAAATAAAATCCTACTTAGAGCCTCATACCACCACGGGTCCGTTCCGGCTTTAATGTTCTGTTTAAGAAGAGAATATTCAATCATTTCTAATATAAAAGAGAAATAGAAGCTCTAATCATTACAGTGCAAGATGAATTATATTATCTTGCTCTATAGCCTCGTTTAACTGAGATAATGCACGCTTAATTGGCAAAAGGACACCAATCAGAAGCCATATGCTCAGAGGCTGCAGATAGTCATTAATTAGTAAAAACGCAATTTCAAAAGCCATTTGTAAGAGCCCACCCCCATCCCCAAGACACCCGCTCCGATATCGGCCACCACCACACTGCTGTCTTGAAAACAAGGCGTGAATAACAAATAATTAAAACAATCTGACTGCTTGTATCCGCTCGTGACAAACAAACAAACGACTGCACGTGCGTTTATCCACACATTTTATTTCTCAACAGGTCCACCCTCTCTCTCTCTCTTTCTCTCTCTCTCTCTTTGCTCTCTCCTCTCTCTCCTCCTCCGAAAACCCCAAAAAGCCACTACTGCTGCCGCTGCTGGCTGCCGCGCGCTCAGTGATTATTCCGCTCTCGCTCAGCTGAGTGTCGGCAGCTTCAAAGCTCAGCATCACTTTCTTTCCCGTCTCTTTCCCAGTCACCGCACTGCGAATCCGCGAGGTGAGGTTCATAGCTCCACAGCTCAGCACCTGACTGTGCACACTAGCAAGCAGCCCGCCGGGACACCGAAAGGGGTTTAAAAAAAAAAAAAAAAAAAAAAAAAAGGGTGGGGTGTGGAGGGACGACAAATGCTCGAGACCCGCAGCAGGTGGCCCCAGACCCGACGGGGAGGGAGACAAGCACAGCAGTGATGGGACAGTTTTCGGGAGGATGCTGCTGGAGTTTTTCCATCCTCGTGCTTCTTGGTTTGCAAGTCCCGGCGACGTTAGCTCGAGGTAAGCACAAGACTTTAATGAGCTCTAAGTCTGCGAGAATAAACTCTAAGGTGTATAAATGGAAATGTTGCTTCGTTTGGCGCTGGCTGTAGTTACCTTGGAGGGTGAAGGGGAAAAAAAGAAGTAATTTTCCCATTTCTCACGTGCGTGCACTTCATAAGTAGTACGATATATTCACGGACTGGATTTTAATGACGGCAAGTTTTTGTTAATGGTGCGTAACAGTGACGCGGACGTCTGCTTGCCGTGATTAATTACATATAATTGATGTTTTAGACTGTATAGAAATGAAGTTGAATAATTTTTGCTGCTCTTATGCTGCATTAAAACTGGTCACGAAAAAAAAGAATTGCATCTTAGTGCGTGAAGAAGTGTCCACTAGCGCTTAGCTGCGTATGTGCGCTTTTTCCACCCCTTTTTCTTTTTTAAACATTTTTACATGACAGGTCCTTCTGAGGGGGAAATAGTGATATTCAGCAGGTTCACATATATCCAAAAGCGTGGGCAGTTGTTTTCACACATGATACATTGTTCTGCTGTAGGCTTGGTGGTACAGGAAAATAATTGCTTAGTAGCAAAATTGTCCAGAAATGAAAACAGGATAATTAGCTGTTATGTGCAGCTTGCAAATCTTGGCCGCGGAGTAGATGATCATAAAGTCTTTTTCTCTGGGTGAATCCATGCTGACCCTTTGACTTCCATTTAACTTGCATGCCAGTGTAACAAAGCAGCATTTGCAAGTCAATTAGTTAAGTAGCCCTGAAGGTTTTCATCTCTTTGCATCGCAAGTTTTAAAATTAGCTTCGACTTGGAAATTTGCATAGCATACATATTAGATTTAGCTTAAGTATCTTAAGTACAGCTTTTCATGCAAGGATCAGGCTGCTTTTGTTGTTGATATATGGAAGGTCCTGGAGATGACCTTAAAAAAAAAACAGGCTTGGAATTGCATTTTGTAGCATCTGCACTGTGGCCATATTACATTCGTGAAATGTTGCTGTGATGTTCAGAAAGAGTGACCAGGGCTTGGCAGGGAAACAATGCTACAACTGCATGAAAGTAAAATGTGCCACTGTGTTTGAGGAGGCAGTTTATATAAGCTGCATAGGTCCTTTTTGCTGGCTGGCGATGGCTCTTACTCAGGCGGTTTGTGATAAATATTTATGTTTTTCAATAATATAAATGTCAGCAGTCAAGTACATTATGCAAACATGAAAGGATGCACAAAGGAAAAGCAACTCTAAGGGCAAAAGAATAGAAGAATTGCAAAGCATTTCTAAGTTATGGTTGAATTAAAAAAATATATATATACCTACATACATTTTGAGTTCCCTACAGTTTTCCCTTTAGGTAATCCGTTGCAGATTTTTTTTAGGATAGATTACTCTCTATTTTGTTTTTTGTTTTTTAAATTTATTTTTCTCGTTAATTATTCACATAAGCCTTGTTAAAAAAGTGATACACGTACTTTTCATTAATCATATTGCAATGTTCAGTTCTCTAACAAAAATATGCATATTAGGAAAAGAACACGTGTTTTTCTCCATAGATTTAAAGATTTCAGTGTTTCTTATTTATCTCCAAAGTGTCAATCACGCTTGTTGTACTTGCAAATATATATATATATATATATATATATATATATAGCACAGACTCTCAGTATGATGCTCATAACATGTTTGTGACAAAATGTAACTCAGCATTTCCTCTAAGTTGACAGCTCGTTTCTTTTGTGTTGGAACTGGAGCATTAACAGTTTGAGGGTGTGAGCTACTGGTGTTCTGGCAACGGCGCGTTCTTCTGACACTGGAAGCAGCCGTTTCAGTATCTCCAACGCTGTAGCCACACGCAGACATTTTGGCAGGCTTTCAGACCCTTCGTTTTTATCCGTTTTGGGTGCTAGGAGGATTAGCACTTGTCGGGAAACCTTCATTGCACTTTCATTCACCAGACACATTTTTCTCAGCCTATAAGTGTTGTTGTTGTCACCTAACCTGTCTTCCCTGCTGCTCCGCTCAGCACTATCAGATACCCAAACACAGTAAGAGGAAGCGCGGGCGAGGAAATAATCCCACTGTAAATAACAGAACAAGTTGGATGTAATGCTCACGCTGAGCTGAAATAGAATGACTGCACATACATTTGCGGACTAATGTAATTACATACCTTTCTATTGGTTTTAGAAGAGTGTGAATCTCATAAAGGCTCCCAGAGGCTGTTGTTTCCTGATGCAGGCTTTATTTGTCATTTAAAGATTTCATCATGTTTCAAATTGTTGGGGGGAAAGTTAGTAACTTAAAATTGAATAGCGGCAACGCCAACTGAGTTGTACAGCTTGGATGATGACTTTCATGTACAGTATGAGCTGTCAAATATTTTAGTATTTTAATAAGCAGTGAAATCGTATATTACATATTTGACTTGGTAGGCAGAGTTTCTTGAGCCCAACTTTGGTTACTGACTGAATCTGTAAACACAACGTGTGTAATGATGCACAGAACTTTAGATCTCAGTTTAGTAAAAAGTGGAATTTCGTGGCTTTACTTTTATGTTGTAACTCATCCAACCACACAGATCCAGATTCAGTAACATTCAAAAATGTCTGAGTGGGAAACCAGGAATTTTGCATATCATTCTTTTCTAAATCTTGTCGCTATGTTGGGGGATAAATACATCTATACTTTACAGTCACTTAGTTTTAATTATACTGCAGGTGTGCTGCCTCTCTCTGCATCACTGTTTATGGTCACTGCAGTTTAGTGGAAATGTCATTTTTAGATCCTCTACATGAGGTTTATTATTCTCAGTGTCTCACCTCCCAGGCTTAAGGCTTTAAATGAACCAAAAGCTAAAAGTATAGCATAACAACACTGACATGTTCTGCTGCTGTTTTTTTTTTTTTTTTTCCATTGTTGGAATGCCCCATCGTTGATATCGTTTGGCTTTAGGCTTTAATTGATGCCTCTTTGCTGAAATAAATATCTGTTTTTTATTGAAGTTTACGTACTAAACCCAGTTCTCAGTATACTTTAATTCCAGTTGTCCAGCACTGTTTAAAACACATCATCTGGTCATTAAACAGGACTCTGCTTCCCTCGGCCCTCGTCACCTGCTCCCCGCCACCAGCCAAACACTTGAGGGAAAGGGAGCACTATGCAGCTCACACATCATTATACACTACATTCACTTGCTCTTGGATATTAGGTATTTACTCATTTCAACACTCGTTTGGATGGCATTTAGGGTTACATTCCACAATGCAGTTTAATGCATTTTTTAACGAGTTTTTTTTTTTTTGTATTATGCCCCCTATCTGCCTTTTATGCTTGTCACTGGTATATTTTTTGTGGCTGAGATGCAAATGCTTACGGGTAGTGATGTGAAGCTGTAGATTTTTTGTTCGTATGTAGTTAAAATGTTATTTAGGTACTGATAAGTTTAGCTTCAAAATGAAAGTAATACCTCGGTCTGAAATGTGTAGCTTGTTTGCCCAATGCAAGACGCCAGCATCTCTAAACGTATAAAGCAGCTGGAGCAGCAGCAGCAGCTTGGTGTCCTTCCTTACAAATGCCAAATTAACCTTAGATCATGTTCAGCTGAATAAACGCCACTTTCAGCCCTTTTGTAGCTAAAATGTCTTGCATTGCAAATTTTACATGTCACAACAACACAGCAGTGCTCCAAAGCCCAGGCACAATACAGCAAATTTCATTTTACTGTTTGATCAAAACGATTCAGCAAGCTCTTTGTTGAGGATTCACATGGCAGAACATGTAATCCAGACAACATGCTGGTAGAAAAGCATCATGGTCTGGCATGGTTAAAAAAAAAAAAAAAAAGACTGCAAGAAGTGAACCAGAGAATGGAGAATAAAGGGCAGTAGAGTCATCTCTGACATGTTTTATTTATCTCAAAAGTGACTGCCGGAATCATGCTCAAGCTTCGAGTTTGATTTCACTGACGTTTCACACGATATGAACTCAGTGGCACAGTTGGGAAGGCATCCACAGTTGTGTTATGGTGGTCATACTGCCCACTTCACTACTGCATTATTCAAAGGGAGTCCATTACTTTATTCAAACCCATCAAGACCCTTTCCCATCATTTCATTTCGACATTCAAAGGAAACCAGGCTCACCAAAGACGGGTAGGGGGTACTGCTTAGGGAAAATTGACTTTAAAGCAAAGCATTTTGTAACCTTATACTGGGAAGCTTTAAAGTACAAGAACATTTATTCTGTAGGATATGAAAATAGAGCAGTGAAGTGTTATGGCAAACCTGTATGGCTATTGTGTTGAGTCTTGAGGATTTCATCAATGCTTTAACTTTAGCCCTATAAGGAAGGAGGAATTAGCATAGCAACCATTTGTTTTCTCCTTAAAAAAGGAGACCCCATTGTAAAATGGGGTCATTTTACAATATTTGTAAAATGACCCCATACTTGAAGTGAATTTTAGTGCTAAAGTAATAAAGTAATATTACCTGCTTTTCAGAAAGAGAACAGATACATCACTATGAACTCTTATATGGTTTTCCATAAACGACACTCTGGACTGCATCAACAAAAACATGTACATAGATACACACTCGTCTAGGGATCATATTTTAACTATTCCCCATCAGTTAGACGTGCTGTGTGTTTTCATGCATGTGTCGTTCTACACAGTGCTAGTTTTTAATGTTCCATGGATGTCAAGGCGTGGAGACAATGACAGGGTGTCAAGGGGGGCCATTTGCGTTACCTCTTGCAGATTTGCTTTGCAGCCTCTTCTCCTCAGCCTTGAGGCTTTCTCTTCAGCGAGACCTGACACTGCTGTTATGTTTTTTATACCACTGAAAGAAAAGCCTTGGAGATAACTGCCCATCCCAAATGCACTCTTCAATGCCTCACTGGCCAACTCAAGGGCATTGCCACAGATGTTAGATTCAAACCATATACTGTTTACCTCAATGCTAAATGCTCTCCACACATCTATCTTTCTTTCTTCTGTCTTTCTCT